GATATGTAAATGATAGATTTAAAAGGAAATAAACACTGCGGCTTAACACTCCATTAATAATATTATACTGCTTTTACCTCTTATCAACTTAGGAAACACTGTTTACAATGTGAACTCACCATCATCTCCATGGTGCCAGAAACCATAACATCTTTGGGTTTGGCATCCTTTGTGCCAATATAGGAGCCAATAGTTTCACAGGACCAGGGAGAGTACTGTCCTGCATAATCAGGTTCTCGGCATTTCACAATGGTTTTGGAGTTCTCCTCGCCATACTGTAGAGCAAAAAAAATTTTTTTCTTTTTTAATTTATTCCCCTAGTTTCTACCTGAATTCTTGTTGTGTATTTACCTCAGGGGGGTAGTCACTAGGGAAGGAATGAGAAAGAGTGGGTGAGGCAGCGAATGGTGGTGGAGAGATGACCTTTCTTTCCTCAAGCTGAGACAGCAGCTCCTGGCGTCGTCGATGCAGATAGTCCAGACTGAGTGGTGGACCACTATATGACGGACCCTGGAATACAAACACAAATATTGATAGGTAACTGGATGATGCGTGTTAATATTTGACATTAAATAAACCTATGTAAAAACATACCCTGCTGACGTAACCCCTCATAGGTGGAGCCTGGACACTTGAAGGATAGTAGCCATCTGGTGGGTATCTGTCCCTGCTACTTGGTTCCTGGTGATAGAGTGAGTTAGCCTGACCAACCGATGGTGGGGGGACATCTAAAGGTGCAGGACTCATTCTGACCAGGTTATCCCGCTGAGATGGATAAGGCTGTGGAGGAGGTGGTGGACCAGTGTAGGTTACATGGCGATTTCGGTCATAGGCATGAGGCATATGGGGATAAGAGAAGGATGACCCTGCGTGAGGGGCCTGGTAGGGGCGCTCGGGGTGACCATAACCATAACCATCCTGGTAAGCAGGTCCTGACTCATTTTGGGGGGGAGGATTACGTATGTAATCCCGAGGAACGTACTGCGGTGGCTGCTCATATGGGTATCCTAAAAAAAAGAAAATAATAATAGCATTTTAGCCATTAATGGAAGTAAAAATATGAAATTTATAATATGGCAAGAGTTCAAATTTGCAACCCTTTTTGCACTTGACTTGTACCTGCAGGGTATTGTGGGTTTTCACACTGAGTAACAGAGGGTGGACGGGTGTCATAGCGCAGCTCAGGAAGCTGTTGATGTGGGTACACTGGAGAACCTCTGGGTACAACTGGCATATGCCTTACACCAGACAGGTGGTCGGCCGACATCCTGGGATGGGTCATGGCATGTGGTGGAAGCGACATCCCAGATTTGGGTACAGGGTCAAGACTAAAAGGAAAAAAAATGAACAAAGAACAATTAGAAGAGAAAGATCAAAAAACAGTGTCATAGATGTTAGGGAAATAAGAATTTTATAATAATAATATAATAATTAAATATGAAGAAACGGATACACATTCCTCTACTTCAGCTGCAAATTGAAACAATACTCACCCATCTGGTGGCGATCCAGGGGCACTGGGACTTCCTGCATCCAATTTGACTGGTTTGCGCAAGAGCTCGTAAGGAACCGCATCAGTACCACGAGGAATAAGCTGGGGCAAAGGTGGAACAACACTGCCATTGGAAAGGGGTGACGGTTTTCGAGTTACTGCTACATCAAGAGGAAGGCCTTCATCTGACAGGAGTCCTCCTGGGCCAGGGAGGCGAGCTGCCAGACGTTTATTCATTTTACGATACCTGGCAGACGTAAACAAGGTACATGGTGTCTAAGAAAAGCTACAATATTTATTGCAACAACAATGGACACATTTAAAGCAAAGTGGAATGCGTTATTTTTGCACAAAAACAGGGCATCACTGTGATATTATCTTACTTCTCCAGTTCTTCCTGAGAGTGTGCAAAGGTACAGCTGGCTCCACGAGGACAACCTCCTTTTTGCTTCATGTCTCGACACATGTATGTCTTGTATTTGCTGTGCTGAGGAGGCTGAAAAGGGGACACTCGTGTTAACCACATAAAGAATAACTGATATTAAAGAGGTTCTATATAATTTTTGCCTGCTTTATTCCACTGTTACTGTATTTACGTACTTTATGCATCAAGATAAGAATAAAACACAATGTGTGCTGCATGGCAAAACATAACACTACCTTAGCAGAGTTGTCACTTGATACTTTTGATTTTATTCATTGAGATGAATCTGGTCATAGCAACACTTTTTATATATAAATAAGTATGTTATAATATTTTTAAGTAGATAAATGTGTAGATTGAAAAGATGTAATGACTTAAGAATAAAAAGACATCTGTATTTAAATAATGACAGAGAGACTAACCTGTTGTGGGTCAGCACCCTTCTTGCTGTGGTTCTGGATGAAGTCCACCAGGCCGTGCACCACTGTCTTCACTGCCACCAAACCTTTTTCAAGCTGCTCCCAAGTTGGAGGAGGGGCATCTGTGGAACCAACAAATATTATATGAAGATAAAACACTATCCTTCAAATGTGACAATGTATAGAATATAGTTATATTTCACCTAGTCCTTCAATAATATAATGATTTTATTTAAAAGTTTTTTTTTTACCAGGACTGGGATCAATGTTGGCCAAGAGCTCCAAATGTGGCCGCAGTCTGTTGAGGTTGGCTGGGTCACCAGTTCTTTGCAGTGCAATTGTCAATTCCTGGACACTCTGCGCAAAGGATGCTGGGGTCTGCAGCTGCACAAAAGCTTAAAGTCAATTTTTGGATACTAATGCGGGAAATAATATTAATTATTATTTATACAAACCTTATCGATAATAGACTGCATGTGTGACTTGTGAGACTGATCTCCATACAAGAGAGAAGACCACTGATCTGGTGCGATTCGGAGCCCTCCTTCCATGGCGATCTGAACAATCTGAGAATCGTGCTCACGCCTCAGAGCTTCGTAAGTACGAAACTCTTCTTTTAGCTGCATCAGGGATGAATCTTCATCACGTTTAGTCACCTAGGGGAGCAAAGAAAGAAATGTTTACAATTATCCCTAAAATCATACGGTGCAGATTCCAAGTTCTGGATCACTGAAGTCCATTCATGCATCCAAGTGATAACATTATGTACTTCAAGTTTTGGAAGAAGTCTTGGAAAGTATACATACCCATATTTAAAAACAGAAAAGCACCAAATACTAATTCCTACAAATAGTAATACTAATTCCATACCTTGAAGCAGGAGGCTCTGTAGAGGAGCTGCACCACATGACCTATACTGGTTTTAGAGGCCTGAGGAAAGCGTGGTTCAAGCCTCTGGACAACAAAGAGAACCAACACCTTCCTTGACAGAGCAGAACCATCTTCTAGAGCTAGAAGAACCAACTTCAAAGCCTCCTCTTGCATTGCTGGGAGTAGGGGAAAAAATAATAATTGTTATACGTAGATGAAAATGGTTAGAAATAGTCGGGGTGGATTCCTAGTTTATTTTATTTTGTAGTTGTAGAAAGAAATTATACCTGGGCCAAGAAACTGACATCCCCGTGCACGAACGGCAGCCCACAAATTGGAAGAGAGCTGTTGTGGATTCTGATGCTGTAAGATGAGCTCGGTGACGGTGCGCTCACCAAGAGAGCGGGCAGCTCTCATGGCTCTGACACGGCCCTCCTCCTCCACTAGCTGGCAGTGGACAAGGGTTACCAGTTTCCTTTGCATGGGTCGACTCAGTATGCTCTGGGCTGTGCTGCTCAGACCCACACCTGACGTGGCACAATAAATAATGGAGACAATATATTGTGCATTAAGACCATAAAATAAAGAAAGTGTTACCATGATCAGTGAAGCAGCACAAATAGTATATATAGAAACTAGTGAAAGACTAAGGCAAGCTAAGCAAGAAACACTGTTAACATTTTGAAACCATCTAAACTCCAATGTCACAGTTTGTTTTTGAGGAGCAAATAATTCCCTTCATCATGACATTAACATACACTTAACATACAGGAACAAGGTCATGTCCATTAGTGGTTACCCGGCAACAGCATTTTAACAACCTGACCTACACAAAAACCACTACACCATACTTGTGTAGAACATCCTTCAGAGATCACTTTGAAAGCCATAATGGGTCATGATAAAAGAGTAATAAACAAAAAAGGCAGCGTATGTTGTAAAGTACCTCTGGTGTTACTGAGTGGTTTGAGGTAGAGAGCCAGTTCCTCCACACACTGCCTGGCCTCCTCATAATGCTGCGAGTCCTCAGGACTGGAAATCAAGGCAACAGGCTGAGCTTTAGGAACCTGTAGCAGACCACAAATGGAAAAGGAATTAGGACCAAGGACAGTGGCACGTTCTCCAATTATTTGGACTATGGTTAAATTTTTTGAAAACATTTCCAACAATTTCCAATTTTTAAGAGTGCATATAAATGTGGTACAGTATTTGGATCCTGGGTAACGTTCATATAGTGTATTTTAATCATTTTTAGGTTTGGACATTATAATATTAATTTGATAATGTTGCAGGCTTGTGATTTGATGTTACTGACAGTGACCACAACAAACTGTGATGACCACATTAGGTTGATAACAATGGACATTGCACACTTAATTTAGTTACCAAGTGTTATTTGTTTTCTGAATTTAATTTGGCTTTAATTTAAACCCCTTGATACCTGACATGCCCTGTCTTTGGATAGACAAAGTTTAAACATTCAATATACACCCCATTCATTTCTCAATTGTTACAGCGTGACTCACAAAAGGAATCTCCAAGCTATGTGCACATCATAAAAAAACACTCCTACCTGTAACACCCTAGCTCAACAACAACTTGATGCCTTGATAGGCATAAGTCCAAAACATTTCCACTATAAATTTCCCAGAAGGGCTAAGCAAACAATAAGTATGATAAATGATAAAATAAAACAATCCTTTGGCAAGTGACTGTTTAATGTTTCCTGCATCACAATAATTGTTTACCTGAGCATGTAACAATCTCCTTCTTAATATATTTGGCACTGCTATTGGATTTGGCATTTAGCCATGTATGATTACTAAGCAGGAATTGTTAAGCTTTACCATGCATCACAAAACAAAATCTTTTATACTTCAAAGGATTTACTAAAATGGCAAACACATATGCCAAAAAATATTATTATTAAATGTTTTATGACACACCCTAACCTTTTTAATTGCATTCAGTCCTAATTTTAACCTTAGTACCACCCTGAAGTTATTAATGGACTGTGACTTGTATTCGCTTCAATCTAAACACAGGACTTAATCAAAACAATGATATATATAGCTGTTGTTTTGAGATTTGCCATTTTCAATTATGTAACAAATGAATCTCACCACTATTTTGTAGATAGCTCTAACCTTTAACTGAGTATTCAGTTTGAATACTGGACAGCCATTATACATATCAACATAAAATAAAAAACATAGCATATGTCTTACCTGGCCTCCCACCAGCTGCAGCAGAGCCGTGTTTACAGGTAACTGCTCAATGTCTGTGTTGATGGCTGTCTGGTCAAAGGGACAGGCCTTTCGGTGCAACTTGTTCAGGCACATCTTGCAGACAGTATGTCCACAGCCCAAACTAATGGGTCGTCGAACAGTCTCCTCAAATGTCTGTGTGCAGATTGGGCACAGCAGGAACTCTGTCCATTGTGGTGCTTGCACAGGCATGGTTGTATGTTAGTGGGATGTGTGTAATTATATGTAAGCTTTAACACAAAGAAAAATATAATAATATATATGAATATATATTTATATATATTGAAGATTCCACTGGAATCAAGATTTTTTTCTTCCGAACTCAATCGTTCTTAAATGTCTTCACACATTGTGGATTTTGGGTCACATTGCGTGATGAATACTGTAAAGACAAAAAGGAAACATAGGTTACATCTCTGCCACATTAATTGAATCCATTTCATAATAAGGATACAAGTCACATTAAAACTTCATGAGCCTTTACTTATCAATATGGTAGCGTTAATATAACAAGTGTGCAGTCTCCATCTGCATCTATAGTTATACATTTACTACTACTCTTTATCAACACAAAAACAAACGACGACCCACATTTGTTTAGCGTTGAACACTCGTCGGTACGCGCTAACCAGTCTCAAAAGAAAACATAACAAAAGAAAAATAAAACACTAAAATAACACAACATAAAATCGCAATTCATTAATATCAAAGTAAAGGTTCGGAAAAAATAAACAAAACAATTGCTGCGTGGCCTACTATATAGAGCTGTTCACAACTATGACTGTGGACAAAGGGTCTTCAGGAAGCTAACAACCAATCCCACTGTGTTAACTAGTTTAAAAGATGGAGTTTGTTAATATAGCTTATATTATGCCCAAAAACAATTATTCATGAGGGTCATCGATGTCCTATCATAGCCGGAATCATTAGGGCTTCTAAGTATACAATTGCTAACAGTTTAAGTGAAAGTAGCTTAGCATTCAAAATGAACATAGCTCACTTTTACCAGGCTAAGCTACGGGTGGCTAGTTTGCTAAGCTGGTTAGCGAGTTAACGTCGTTGGACTGGTAACCGACTTAAAAACAACAGCTGTTTAGAAATTAAACAACTTCTATTCTGAATAGAGATTAAAATCGAACCGATAAATAAAGCAAAATCACAGTTGATTTAACTATATCTTTTGAAGAAACTGTGGCACTAGAAAGTGTAGCCATTTGACTTGGCACTGCGATTATGTAACGCTAGCTACCGAAACTACCAAATAAACCAGCTGCCTTTGTATATATCAGTTTACCATTGCGCAACCAAGTATCCATTCTGAATTGAAACATGGTAGTGTTTTGACAACGGCGAGATAAGTGGTTTCAAACAAGCACTATTGTGGTCGGGCTAAGAATGCTAACAGGCTAGTGAGCAAATCGTACTCCTCCCTGTAGCAGCATTTAGCCCGTTAGCTTAGCTTCCTGTCGTGTTAGCAACAACCAACCATCGCTATGCGTCATTTCGATGTGACTAAACGCAGATACACTTAATTAATTGTTAGTTCCCGTAAGTGAGAAGCATCTATATAAACTCTACTACTCACTCATTCCAAAATATTTAGAAGATGTTCATCCATTTTCAGAAAACTGTTGCGATATTTCCTTGCCATGTCGACTGTGCACCTCAGCCGCTGCCGAGGTTTGGGGAGGGTGTCAACTCGACAACAGGCTCGCTAGCCGGTTACAACAAGCTGAGCAAAATGTGTACTTCTGTATATGTGTGCGTACAAATGTGTGTTGTTTGTCGATGGCGCCCTCTAGTGTCGCTAAATGCTTGATTTAAAAGAGCATCGTATCGGAGAACCTTTTTTTTCAAAGTAAATGCAAAACGTAGCCCAACTGCAAAAAAACTTGAGTGAACAATTAATATGCACTATCACAAGTATAGTATACGAATAGTATTTGACATTTTAAAATATTGCTTATGAATAAACGTACCGCAGCTCCCCAGCGTCCTTGTTGCAAATTTTTTGTTTAATTTGTCTAATTTTATTTTTTTCTGTCATATATATTTTAAATATTGGTTTTCAACCTTTTTATTTTGTCTTTTCATGGACTTTGTTGTTACACTACAAATTATTTCACTTCTTCAGGGGCTGTGACAAATTTTAAAACTGTTAATTTATGTTGATCAGGGGTTCCTGCAGAAAAAGTATGGAATAATTGACTCATGCAATAGAGAGCTTCACTTGATAAGGGCGAAACAGTTTTGTATTCCATTTGTTGTATAATCCCACTGATTTCTGAGGGGATTAGTGGACCATTCGTTTTTGAGAGAATGCTGCTTCACCTTCAGCTGTGAGTTGACGGTGAGTGAGAGACAGATAGAAGTAAAGAATCTTTTTTTTTTTCTTATCTCTTTAACCTGGATGATAAAGCTGCTCGGTCCTGTTGCTCGTTGTGCCCAGAGGTTGCAGGATGAGTATGCTGGTTGTATTCTTTGCTTATGTTTGGCACCTGTTTTTGTTGTTGCAGTAGAATCTTTGATAATCTTGTTATGTTTTGAAGCATACTGCTTCTTCTAAATAGACTATTGTGCTGCTTCGTTTGCTGTTGTGTACCAATACATTTCTGAGCAGAACTAAACAGTGCAAGTTCACATGATAACATATACAGTATCATGCAGTGTTGTTATGAATTGGAAGCATTGGGTATGAAAAGACATATGCAAAATGTATTGCTAGACAAATATTACTTATTACAGTATATACTGTACAGAAATATATTGCAAACACATATAGAGTGGGGACTCAGTTGCAGGCAGCAGTTGCTTATTCTCATCCCAAAGGATTATCCCGTGCTCTGCAGTGTAATCACTGGATAAGGCAACGTGACAGACCACATTACATATCACTCTATCCTGCAGATCAGATAGATGTAGCTGGTGAATTCTAAATAGATGGTGAGATCCATGGTTTTAAATGCATGCATATGGAAACTTGGATCTGGTTTTTATCCATAGGATCTACCTGCAAATGTCTGTGCCTGAACAGCCAATGGAGGACGAGAGGAAAGACACTACAAAACCAAGTTGCCCTGTGCCGACTGGGATTCCTATTAACTGGTCGCTCATCACCGGCCCTGTTCCAGTTCCTGAGTCAGTTTTTCTGGCAAATACGAACCTTCCTCCTCATCATACCTCGGTGCATGTTCTTCAGACAAAGGTGAAGACCGTCACACAGAGACAGACAAGAGGGAGGGACACAGAGGTCAAACATCCTGTCTTTTTGAGACCTAAAGGTATGGGTCAGGAGTCCTTCTCTGCTCCTGCTTACCAAGCAGAAGCTGCAGAGATCCTGGAGAGAGGTGATGTGGAAGTGGAGGTTGATGTGCCAGGCAGACTAGACATCCACAGTCTAGAGCTACATGTTGGTGAAAACATAGAAGAAAAAGGCTCAGTGAGATGCGAAGATCTTGGGAGTGCTCCAACTGGTCAGTCTTGCCTCAATGAAGGTCTTAGTTTAGACAGAATTATGTCTGAAAATTCAAGCAGTATTAAGGACAAAGTAGCCCAACCTCCTCTCCCACCTAAGCTGTCATCAAGTTCTGCCACCATCTCAGCTTCTCCTTCATGTTGCTCTTCTCCTTCAAAATCACCCATGTCTAATAGACACTGGGGACCACCCAAGGGCTTCTGGAGAGTGGCCCGACCAGAAACATTGCTTTTAAATGGCATAGACCCCGACAGTATGCCATCTATGTTGCCTTCGAAAGACGTTACTCAGACAGGTGGAGTGATGGGACCAAAACCAGCCAAAGTTGACAACAAAAAAGACTTTGACGTTTTAGGGAACAACAGAGCTCCTTTAAAATCTAAGCCCTTACACCGTGTGGAACTCGACAGGTGTGCACCAAAGGAGGCAGATGATGGTGACTCTGCCGTGGGTCTGTGCAGCTCTGAAAGTTCAGAGAGCATGTCTTTAAAAAGTACTGTGTTCCTGGCTGACAAGAAGCAGAAGTTAAAACAGGATCCTCCAACAAAGTTAAGGGAAGTACAACACTGCAGCAAGGTGGCGAGAGAGCAATGTGGACGAGAAAGTTCCACCTTAAATGGAGATGTAAAGGTGGACAAAGGAGGTCAGTGTTTTGAAAGAAGCATATCAAGTTATAAATGAACGGTTTTTCTATTTAGCAATGATTCAACATACTATCAAAATTAAAATGTAAGAGGTTTCAGAGATACTTTAGAGTGTTGAACCTTGTTAAACGTAACCTTGGCAATATTTTATGTTTAATGGATGCCAGTTAACAGATGTGCAGATGTCATGTACATGTAGCTATTTTTAGCAGAGAGCAGAGAGGATGATGTTATAATCACTGTTTTTGGCTTTATAGTTTGGCTTTATTCTGTGTTGAAATCCAGGGGGACATATTGTGTCATTTCCATTCTTTGTATCGGTGGTTTTGTTTTTCATGTGTAAATCTGGAAAACAAATGACAAACAGCCATGTAAGTCTGGTGCTCAAACAAGGAAGTCAAGAAGCAGGAGAAGGAAACAGCAGGGAAGTTTCATATGGCTACAGATTAAAAACCTCTGAATAACTAGTGATGCTTTACCCACATTTTACAACAATAACAAATTCTTTGCATTAGCATGTCGTTAGGTGGAGCTGTGGGTCCTTGGATAGTTTTACAGTATCACTTGTGGCTTTTCATGACAATATCTCTGACACACTGAAATATTTCTTGATAATTTTATACAAATAGTCAGCTTACTGTATCGGCAGCTGTTAATTCTCTCCCTCCTGTGTTTCATGACACTCCCAGTTGTCCGTGGGATTACAAAAGACCGAGACACGGCCATTATTACGCAGGAACTTGAGCCGTATTTGAGGTCAGTAATTCTACGCTTCTTTATGAAACTCTCAGGCGTGGTGTCACTCCTGTTCACTGCTCACACATCCTCAGAATTTTCATTCTACAGCAACACTTGTTGCAAGTATACTGTTATTTTTACTCCATATATCAAACAAAGCAGCACTGAAACAATATAATCTGACTAACAACATATGCAACGGTTTAGATTAGATTGGATAGATAGGACAAAGTAGTTCTAGGCTGTAGATAAGGAAGATATTAGTGAACAACATTGACAGTAAAAACTGTAATCCATAGGGTCAAGTTGTATTCTTATTTGTGGCATACTGTATGAGAGGATGAATCACACTGCCAGGATAAGCCACATGTCTGTATCATGCTATCTTTATCACTGAGGCAGGGGATAAAGACTAGTAGAGACGATGAGGCGCAATACAGAGCAGCTTAACTGTTGGGTATAAGGCCATGGATGGATGACATTTCTCCTGCTTACCATCAGTGCCACTCCCCCACAATATACTGTAGCTATTGGATATTACATAAGACAGCTCAGAAATACAAAGCACGACACACAAGCTTAGCGTGACTAAATTCAATAAAAGTTTTGGTTATTGACCGATTTGTGTCTTTCTAACAATCCTCAGGTCACTTCTGCTAAACAATGATGGGATGCGTGTAGGTCAGAGACATCAGCAAGCCAGGGATCTGCTGGAGCCAGCACAACCCAAGTCGCTCTCAAGCTCTTATTCTGATCAAAAATCCACAGTGTAAGCTCCTTGCTCTGGTAACATAAACTGGGTCGATTGTCGATGAAACATACCGTTCAACACTGAAATAATCTAGTAATAGTCTTATTACTATAAAAGATTTGTTTTATTTTTAAAAATGTTGGACTTATTTTTTAAAGCAAAATAGATGTTTATAACAAACCTCACTTCATATCCATTCTGGCTTAATGTTTAAACATACACTAAGTTCACCTTTTAGGTGGAATATTTGCTGTGTTAAATTGCTTTTCTCATACAATGCTCTGTTACTGTTTACAGTGAGAAGCAGTGCACAGAATTTCCCAGCACCGTTCTGGAACAGAGACCTCTTCAAATGAAAGATGTTGCAACACAAACAGATACTGACCCTCCTCATTCCCCTCAACGATTTGCATCACCTGTTGAACAAGTAGATCAACCTAAACGGTATGGTTGTTCAAACACATCTGTCGGCTGTACAGCTGTATCACAAAACGATGCTGAATCACGGTCCACGGATAGAGTAAGAAAACGTGAAAGGACCGGGATCCTTGAATTCAGGACTGAAGAAACTGACTTTACAAGCAGTTGTTCAGAAAAAAGCAGAATCATCTCTAATACTGTTGAGAAGAAGCAAGAAGACAGAAGCATTTGCAGTGAAACCACAACAGTTATTAAAGAGATAATAGTGCTGGTGAAGAAATGTCAGGCATGTGGCTCTGTAGTTAGGGAACCTCAGACAGTTTTGTCTAGTCCTTTAGATCAAGAATCACGGCAGCTTAGCAACACAGAGGACTTGGTGGAAACATCAACTTGTTCCAGAGAGTCTTCAAACAGTGCAGAGGCAGGTGCACGTCCCAAAGGTTCCTTAACTGTAACGTTTGCGGGTGCTTACGTGCTGGGAGAGCATGAAGAGACTAGCACAGGGTGGAAGTCGTCCAGTTTTGGGAAACTTAGAAGAAGAAGCAGGAAAGGAGAAAGTCGAATAGAGTCCGGCAATGGACCTTATGGTCCGTCATGGGCTCAACGCCGTAACTCTGGTCCCAGAAACAGGGTCAATACAAACAGAACTGTGTCATTTGCTCCCGGCAGCCCTGTCACTCTGGAACCGGGTTCGTTGGCGTCTGGTGGGGTCAGGGGGGCGCCAGCACATTTATTACCTATAAAGTCAGCCTTAAAATCAAGGAATCGCACCACAGCAGGTCAATCTGCAGTTCAGTCACAGACTACCTCGAATCTGGCTGACCAGGACGGGTCACAGCACGCATCTCAACAAGACTCTCCAGAGGCAAGAAGGGACACCACACCGTCTTTGATGCAAGGGACCCCTGCAGCGAGCAGCTCCGTGCCCTGCAACAGACCGTCCAATCTGAGGTACTTTCGAGGTCGGTTTAACTCAGACCCACCTGGAAATGAACCTTGGGAGGTCAGTCCAGATGGAAAAGGTGAGTAGTCCTGAAATACCAGTGTCTGTGATATTGAAAAACCATATTACTATGATGTACAACAAACCAAAGTGAATGTTTCACATGTGGTCACAATCGATTTCAATCGCCCGGATTAGGTGGAGACCTTGGTCCTGAGTGTCGTCCACTGCGACGAGGACTGGCTTTGTCTCGGGCTGAGGACCTCAGAGCTGAGCTGCTGAGGGCAGAACATCTGAAAGCTGGAGGCATGTGGGACGAAAGCTCTGATGGGTTCAGGTTAGACAAAGTACAACAGAAAACTTTGTTTGACCTCGGATAGAATAAAGGGATATTCTGTATTATTCCACGAGCCTTTGGTGTTGATGTAGTTCCAATTTGATTCAGTGTTAATTTGTTTTGCACGCAATGTGCCTTCTATGCAGTACCAGAAGATTTGGAGATGTTTATCATCTACGATTTAATAATAATAATAATAATAATAATAATAATAATAATAATAATAATAATAATAATAATAATTATAATAATAATATCTATTGTCATCCTCAACTTTAACTTTAACCTAGGATGGGATTAGTGGACAAATGTACAAATATTTAAAAGCTGCTTCTTTTATTAAACAAAAGCCCAGATTTTAAATATCCCCACGTCTGTGTTGTTTGACCATTTGCACAGTTATGTAATTGTGTTTATGCACCCTTTTCTAAATCTAAATAACCCTGTGCTGTGCTAAAAATACTCTGCTCTTTATTCAACAGGAAGCTGGATGTACGGCCTAAGCTTTTCCTGCGCCGCTTCTTTTCCTCCATCGGTCTGAACGGTGTTGGTAGACTTGTTAAGGGAGGTCGCTCCAGCAGTATGGAACAGCTCAGTATTCTCACAGCCTCCAAGACCACTTCTGCCTCTCCAAGCCCAACACGCAGACCACAGCCTGACATTCACATACAGAGGACGCCGTCACTGCAGACCTTGCACACCGTGAGCAGGAAAACACTTTTACTTTAAAAAGTCTAGCCTTCATCCTGACTCATTCTTCTTTTGGTAGTCGCAGTAATGTGTGTGATACAGATTTTTTCTCTCTTCTGTGCTCTGGTCTATCACAGTCTTTAAATTTATTAAATATTAATATTATAGAATATTAAACTTACTAGATTCAGAGCTGCCGTTGTACACATTTCTACAGCAACACTGTTTGTATTGGGTACAATTTGTCGAACTTCCTTTTATCTGCCACTAGGTGCTGCCACAGGCCCAGTTGCGTAAAGCCTCCTCAGTGCAGAGTCTAGAGAGAAGAACAGAACGTACTACATTATTGGGAGAGGTACAAATTCCATATGGCTTGGCCCCAAGGTAGGAACATAATAATTACAGATTTTTTTATTTTACAATAAACTAAAAAACAGCGATGTAATTAAACTGAAAAATAATCTTCTTGTTGACTTCAAGTCAAGACCCGGCCCTCTCCTGCAGTCCCCAGCTGGAACTCCACAGAGCACTGAGTGTTGAGGATGTACTGGCTTCTAAAATAGTACGACCGGTGGGCTGGATCACACAGGCTCTTCCTGATGGATCCCTCCTTCTGCAGCTGATCAGACCCCCTAATGGGCCTTTTGGTTTTGTCATCTCCAGAGGCAAAGGACGGCCAGACACAGGTAACATTTAGTCACTGGGATATGACTATACTTGGATTAACTTGTTTCGTTTTTTAGCTTTAATCTTTAAAATTGTTATACTATAAGTATGAGAAAATGTGTATTACTAAAGAGCAATATTTCTAAAAAGAAATAGAAATTAATTCTAAATAGAAATTGTATCGTACATACAGGTGTTGCTGGACCAGAAAATTGCAAATTAATAAAATAAATATCTGTGCACATTTTGCAATGATACGTGCAGCTATTTATATTTTTTGCATGTGTTCTACAGTAAAATAGGCTTATGGTTTACAACCTGAGAGTAGAAGTAACTGTAACCACTGGGTGTCAGTGCCAAGCTGGTGTCCAGACGAGGGTGGAGCCCATGTCTGACAGAGACGATAGCCTGGTTATCATTCTTTATTTCTCTCACCACCACCACCAAGTCAAGGGGGCATCTCAGGCCTCTGCTGGCCGTTTTAATCATCCAGTGCAGCCTCTTCCTGTCTGCTGTCGAGATTCCTTTGCACCACTGTACCATAGCTGACACCACAGGGACACAAAGGGGTGGCTCCTGCACCTCTGAAGAACTCCAAACACTCCCAGTATTTATCTCCTGTCTGTACCCGTACCTGACTCACTGTTCCACTTCCATTGTCTCCCTCCGCCAGGTGTTTATGTGGAGAAAGTGGTTGATGACGGTGATGAAAACCCATATAAAGGACTCCTCGGTGTTGGGGATGAAATTCTGGAGGTTAATGGAGAAGCAGTAGCTGGGCTGAGTTTGGACCAAGTCACACGGCTTATGACCCGGAAAAACACTGCTTCTCTTCGGCTCTTGCCAACCCGACGCATCCAATATTGACTGTAAAAACAGAACAATTCAGAGAGTCATTGTCCTTGTTTAAACTGTAGTTTATTACTGGTAAATATAATCCAGTAAAGATAAAAGTCCCAGATTTTAGTTTTTTAATACATATAACTTAAATTTAACCCTAATCCCTGATTTATTTCTCCCTTTATTTATTTTTTTATTTTTCCATTTTTTTAAATTGTCCTGTCACACGTGCACATCTAAAACATAATAATAATTTACCACATATTGTGTTGGCAATATTCCTCAAATAAAAAGGAATACATTCGTTTATTGAGGCTATATCCATATGAAGTATAGACATAGGTTTGAACATGGTAAAATGCTCGTGGAAGACATAATGCCCAGCTTTTCTTTTCACCCACCCATGTGCTATCGCTATGGTGCACACACTTTACACACATGTAGACCTTGCATACAAATGCTTGCCAAATGCTAATAAGATGTACTGTAAATACTAAGTGTTTCTTTGTAATAAAAATCAAATTAAACTGGACTTGCATGGTCACTACATTTTTACATGTTCAGCAAATAGCAATTGTTTTCTGAGAAATGTAATGGATTTACTTCAAAATAAAAGGATTTCTTTGGACAAACCTTGTAATCCTTTACTTATTACCATATTAACCACTGAAGCAGCAATGGAATGAAAAGACATAATCGGCACAAATTATTAACCCAATTGTCTCAGGATCAATAGTGCATCAACAATATGTGAAGAAACAAAATCCCAAGAGATGGCACAAGGGGACGGAGCTTGGCATCAGTGAAGGGAAAACATTGTATTTTAACAGGGATAATGCACTGGCAGGAGGCTCAGGATGTCTGGCCATCACAGCTGCCACAGAATCTCATCACATCAGCCAAGGCTACACCATGATTGAAAACGGTGCCTTGCAAAAATAAGGGGTAAACTAGTGTCATGATGTAAATCCAGTTAACATCATGCAATTTTGAATAATATCATTAATTTGTAATTATTTAAATTACTCTAAAGGTAGAAACGTTCCTGTTGCACATGTGACAAAACTCAATACAAAATTATTAGCTTCTGACCTAACAAACACGTTTACAAAGTGATTTTGTAAATATTGTGTTACTGTGATGGGTAAAACTAAAGTACACCACACACCCCTCAAAAGGTGAATTATATATCACAATATCAAAATAAAACATCATATAATGAACTAATGTTAGACTTATTATTGACAGACACACACAGCAGAAGAGCATTAAAAAATAAGCTTTCCACCAAGAATACTGGCAAAAGAAAACGTATTGAATAACGATGGAAAATTCAAAACTATAGTTTGCTTTTTGAGTAAAAAAAGATCCAGTGAATGTTTTGATATTTGCACTTCCATACAAAATGTAAAATTTCTGACCGGATTCTAATCCATCTCGGCTGTAAAGTGCTCGGTGGACTCCTCACCTCAAAGTGCAGGTTTTGGGTTAAGCACCGGATGTAGGATGTCGGTCGTGACTTCTGTTTAAAGGTCGTGACTGATTATTGGTCACGATTGGTTTAACGTGTCAAACGTGTGGAAAATCAATCCATAATAATTATTTCATCTGGGTATAACACGGCAAAAAGACACTCTAGTTGTTGTTGTTTTACCAAAATGTTGGCAATTAGCTGCTTGACATGACGTACGAATGAATTTGTCAACAATAAAATGCAATAACCCAATATTAAAAAAAAAAAAAAAAAAGCAGTGTTGGGAAATCCACTGTTAGGATGTACCTGCTACCGTTTAGTGTGTCTGGGATCAGCTCTGATAGCGTGTCACCGTTGATGTTGCTGCGGCTTTATCTGATGGAGCAGAAGCCGATCAGCTTTTATCTCCTGCAGCCATGAGTCTCCCATGGACCCCGAGGGGCGAAGGGGGCGGCGAGGCGGTGGGGGGCGGCATGGCCACGAGACACAGACAGTGACATGGAGAAAGATAAATAATATTAATTTATTTTTGGTTACTCTTTTTATTTTTTTAAAATAAATTATTTAATTAATTATCTTTACATCCAGTTTAAAACAATGGTGTTATCATTTGTCTAGAGCCCTGGGGCTCTGCAGTAACTATTAGTAAATATTACAGTAATAGATTTACAACAAATAAGTAAATAATAAGTAAATAGCAATTAGCCAAAAAAGTTCTAATCCTTGATCTTATTTCAGAGTAGATTCCAAAACATTCCTTTTTGAAGTTACCAATAGGTGAGAAGATTGACCTAAACTGCTACTTCCTTCATCCAAAATAAAATAAAACAGTAAAAAAAAAAAAACAAAACAAAAAAAAACCTCCAACTACAGTAAACCAACTCACACTGTTACAGGCCGTTGCGCTGTGGCTGTTTGCTTTTTTTTTTTTTTTTTTTTTAATGCTTTACCCTCCACAAGCCTGTGTATAGCCAACGACAGCCAAATAATAATGAATCATTTCATAAATAATGGGTTTAGGGGCTTATCGGGAATGAAGAGGCCGCTGCCGTGCGCTTATCTCACTCGGCCACATTGCGGCCTGTGTTCCGCTCCCCATACTGAGGGGAGCGCAGTGGATGCGGAGAGAAATAACTCAGCTACACATACACACACACACACATGCACACACACACACACTGCTCCACAACTGGCAAAAAAAAAAAAGAAAAAAGAAAAAAACGCAGACATGGATGACCCACTCACAAAATGGCTCCACTTACACAGTAACATCAACAACACGGCTGGAACGGTAAGTGCTGAAAAACAACACATCTCCTTTCCTTAAAAGAAGCTTATTCATTTTTTTAATTGGCCGTGAAAGGGTTTATATAGTGTGATTATTATTGCTATGATTGTGGAAATATTTAGCCTATATTTTTCTGTTCATGGACGACCGTTTGGCAGCGACAGTGCGGCTGGAATAACCGAGGCGCGGCCTGTATTAACGAATTTCCATTGACAAAAGTGCGCTTTTCACAGATTTGCGTTCCTGTATTCGGTTAACGTGTGCCAAATGAAACGAAGACATTTTACACAGAGAATTAAGGGTTGACTGAAATATTCGTCGTGGTTGTTCTATGAAATGGAATAGGTTTAATATAACAACGACCGCACTATATAATGGCCTTCACCGGGCGTAAAAATCAGACGGCGATCTTTGACATTTGTTGCCATTAAAAAGACCAGATTCGGTTGTTATTTTAAGAATCTGACAGTGTTGTTTTTAAGACAGAAAAATAAAGTATTAAAACAAATCTCCTCCCTTGGTCCAGTCGTATCCTCTGTTTAAGAGGACCACTCCACCTAAACATAGAAAGAAAAATGAAAATTATTATTTACATTGCGTTTACTCTTAACTGTATTATTTGGTAAGTTAAAATGTATGTTAATAACCATCAACTGTACCCAACGTCTTGGAGGCCAAGATAAAGGATCCCTGAAAAAACGCGAGCACAGGATAAAAATAAATAAATGAATCCATGTATAAAAAAGGCCCCGTTAAAAATCTGTCTTAATATGAAATAAACATATTCAGTTGAATAAAATCAACACTTGCACGATTACTTACAATTACATTCACTGAATATTCATATAGAATTTAATACCCACATTTTTACACTATAATGTCACATAAATTATATTAGTATAAATTGATTCCAGCCCTCAAACACAAACTGTAGTTTCTAATTTTTATCGAAAATGTTGTTTTATTTAACGCCTACAAACGTCTTTATTTATTTATTTATTGTGAATTTATTGAGGGGGCGGGGATTGGCTGCTTTGACTGCAATATTTATAATATTATAATAATGTTTTTAACAAATACTAACACATAATATTCTTGATCGAATTTACCGGATAAAATCTCATTTAGAAGTAGAGCACAGGTGAAAATGATGGAAAAACGGCAGCCGGAGCTGCGTCCTGGGAGTCCCGACGCAGAGTCCGGTCCAGGGAAGTGGGAGGACTCCTCCATCATCTGCAGACAGAACGGATGCAAGAAAAAGGAGGACAAGGAGCCAAAGAGGAGGGAGCAGGACGGTGCGGAGGTGGAGGGCGATGAGCAGGAGGCGGAGAAGAGGGGAGGGTGCTTCAAGGAGGTAGGAGAAGAGGCGGATGATGATGGTGGCGGTGGTGATGACGTTCCTCTGCAGAACTCGAGCAACGGGACCAGCATCAGCATCATCATCAATGGCGTTGCCAAGGAAACTGCCTCTCACGACGCCCTTGACCTGAAAAGGGAAGTGCCGGTGATCGAGCTTCACAGGAGGGACGCTATAAAAGCACTGGAGCACAGGACTGACAACCATTTGGTGCCGATCACGGAACTTCGCAGACCTCCACCTCCACCTCCACCAGTCCCGCTGCAGCTGCCGCCGCCGCACCGAGACGACGCTCGAATGGTCCAACTGAGTCCCAACGCGTTTCCTGTCCCGGCCCGGGCGATGCTCTACAACCTGGCGCAGCCTCTCGCCGCCATCAACAGGTAAATGTGGAGGAGAAATATCATGAAAAATAGTTTTAATTATTATTATATGATTTTGTGATTATGAGTTAACTATTTCACTGTTTTGGCCTGATGTTTTGGTGTGATAATAATTTATAACATAAAAGATGACGTATGACTTATATGGTTTGGGCTTATATGGATTGGGCTAAAGCCTTTTTCTTCTTTTGGACATCAAAGTTTTGTATATACGTGCACTGAATCAAATTTCCTTAGATGATCATTTTGTTTAATTCCTTTTTAACGAACAAAAACCAAGGTTTTTTTTTTGTCCAAGAGTTTAACATTAATGGGTTCTGTTGGTTGCCCTTAGAATAATTACAGATAGGAATTCCACAAATTTTTCACACATTCATTACTTTGTTTTTTTGATTTATTCAAATTATATTTACACTAAATTAATCAATTGTTTTTGGGTTCGGCTTCATGCTTCAAACCTTAGCCCAAAAATGCACAGCACGCACAAGTATCAGACAAAAAAACAAAAAAACAAAAAAACAAAAAACAAAAAAAAAACAACAATGTGCCAATATGCAGATTGCTTATTGTGCTATAACAGAATGTGACACTGATTCGTCCTCCATCTGTTTGGGACTAAATGTTCTAATGAGACTGAATGTCATTGTGAGGCGCTGGATGAAGTTAAGATGAATGTAACTGGTACTAGGTTTAGGTATAGAGCATTTACTGATAACAACTAAGGTTAGGGATACTTCTAACTAATGGTAGTACAAAATTATTAATAATAAGAAGAATAAAAGATTAGCTGTGAGAAAATATGTGTCTCTGTATTTGTTTTTGTTTTTTTTGGTTGTTTTTTTTGGTTGTCAGTTACACACCATTTTCTGGCCAGATGGTTTCTCAATGTTTGAATACATATGTGTGACTTTCCCCCCTAACATTTGGAAGTACTATGTGGGGAAGCGTATCCATCGTAAAAACTGTGCTACATCGATTACCTGGTGTGGTCAACTATAAAGGAAAGACAGTATTTGGTTAGCTGTTAACTGACTGTGCAGTTTGGGATACAAATAAGGATTGGTTTGGTTTTAACGCTGAAACAGATCCTCCAGTCTGGTCTCATTACACTTGGTGTTTGAATTAAATGTTGAGGTTAAACATCATCAGATAAAGTTACCTTTTGTAGGAAGCGGTGGGAATCTGGGAATAGTTTTTGTTAACAAAGAGGTAAAACTTAACCAAAATAATAAATAATTTTCTTTTTGAAACATCATCATTATCGTTATCATCATCAGAGCTCCCTAAATCAGTGTCTATGTGTTTTGTGTTTGCGCCACAGGAGCTGAATGTTCAGGATGATGTTGATGACAAATAAGAAAACTGAAACATGATTTCCTCTCTTCTCTGTTCTCTCTGTTAATGTCCAGTCTTGGAGGGGAGTCGGAGCAGTACAGCATGTACCCCAGCAACAGGGTAAAGCGCCGCCCGGCGCCTTATGAGATTGAACTCGACGAGGGTAGGCGCATTTTAGATCTTTATAAGTATGGTAAGACGCACTTCTGCTGTGTCCTCCTTCTGCCAATATAGTCTCCTCCAATATGTGTCCCCTCCTCATCTCTGTTGTCATTCATCCCCTGACATGGACCTATTATGTACCTAATCTGAGTGTCGCAGAAGATGTCTTGCAAAAAGAACACTCAGCGTAAGTGTTTCAACCAAGACATAAACACATCTCTTGGACTCTCAATTTGTAAACCTACAAAGTGACTTTTGGAGAAAAAGATGGAGGTGTATTTGATTTGAAACATCCTTTTCACTGCTGCCCACTCACTGCCATATGCGGGGGTGGAAGATGGGGAAGCTGCTGCCTCCATGCCAAGGTTTTACTGCAGAGTGCGCTGAAGGATTAAGATAGTCTGGTTGTGTTCCAAAAGCAACAAAAGCCTGGATGACACCAATGTTGGGGAGGGGGGATTTGTATACCTGCACTAGATTTTTTATATTTATATAAACCAAGGAACAGACAGACCTGAACACACACGAGTGTTTTGAATTTAACATTGGTATACACCATTTACAGTATATTTGGTAAGATTTTGTCCTTTCATCAGAATATCCTTGTTTTAGTGGAGGACAATTTACAAATTCCGTTTCCAAAAAAACTTGGTACTCTTCTAAAAATGCAAGGAGTAGACTTTCAAATTGAACTTTCTCAAGCAGCAAAATAAATAATTAAAAGGATGTTTTAAATAATTAGAAAGTGGTACTATAGCAACACACTTGTTTGGGACAGAGGCCAGTTTACGTTATTATTATTATTCTTTATTTTTAATTTAATTATTATTTCTTTTTATCATGGATTCCAATTTCACTGCACATTTATTCATGGAATTCTGTCCATATAATAGACTTGAACTCTGTGTTCACCATTGTCTGACCAGAACATGTCAACATCATCTTCAGTTCTGCTTTGGCCTATAGTAAAGTGAAAACAGTCCTGAACCTGTACAGTTGTCTCCACCATCATTGTAAAATGGCGGAGTCTAATGTGTGAAGGTAACACACATTCAGCAGCTGTTTCTACCCTTGGTCTTTGTGCCATTCAGAATCTGGTGATTTTGACGCTTCTCACATTATTACTATCTGTAGATTGTGAAAAAACTGAATTCTGGGCCGCTTCAATATTTATTTGTCCCGGTCCCAAACATTGTCAGTGTGTTGCATGGAATTTTTAAATTAATTTATGTTTACCTTGAGAATAATTTTCTTCTGATGCAACCCAACCTTGGATTTTTGGGACCACCTGGTATCGAACAGTGTCCCCACCACTGCATCACTCTGAAGGTCCTAGGTTTCGGGACTCCTGCTCTGGCAACCTGTGAGGAAGGGACAAGCCAAAGTGATTATTAGAATTTTTAGGAACAGTAAAGTATTTTCTGGAAAGAGGGTTTGAGCTTGCATTAATAGCTTTTGCTGTTTTTTCTACAATTAATGATTTCTAAAAACGTGTGCATGCCTGACTGCAGTATCTGCCCCAGCTCAGCATTTCATTTACATTATGTTGTATTTCTTCAGAACTGTGCACCTAACTTGTACCCCTCCACATCTGTCCCTTTTTTGTTTTTTGTCTTAGCTGGCCAGCCGAAGATTGTACGTCGAATCTTCACCAACAGCCGTGAACGTTGGCGGCAACAGAATGTAAATGGAGCATTTGCTGAGCTTCGCAAACTCATCCCCACGCACCCTCCAGACAAGAAGCTGAGTAAGAATGAGATTCTCCGGCTGGCGATGAAGTACATCAGCTTTCTTTCTAACCTCCTTGAGGACCAAGATGGTGGCAGGAATGTTGGCAGCACAACAGACGGAGAAACGGGGCTGCTAGTTGGTGTTGGGCCCCATGAAGGAGGCCCTCAGGATGGAAAACGTCAGGACACTGTTGTGGGTCTGCCCAGGGATGACATTCTGGAGACAATGTCCCCAGGGTCTAGCTGTGGAAGCCTGCCTGATGGTGATGCTGAAGGCAGCCCTGAGAGCTTTATGGAGGACCAGGATTCACCTCCAGCTGCAAGGACTTTAACGGCTTCTCGTGGGACTGCGCTACATCTGTCCACTAGGGATTTGAGGCGCAACGGTCGCCCTTTGGATGGTTCTGGTCGTCGATGATGCTGATGCCAACTTCCCACATATCGTGGGACTGAAAGAGGGCAGTAAACACGTCTAGAAAGATTCCCGGATCAGTCACCTTTGGGTTGTTGAAGGAGAGCACCACGTGGTGAGATGGTGATGTCCAAAATGGACCATGAAAAGCATCTGATGGCTCGGTTTGGTTGATGTCCGATGGATTTAGATCCTTGTAAATTCTGCATGTCTCATGTCTTTGATTAAACTGTGGGTTATAAATTTTCATTTTGTTAAATTCCAAAGCTCAATACTCACAAAAACACAAGAAAGAAGTACATATATTTACAGGGAAAACATGCTTATAGAATACTGCAACAAAAATGCTAAATAAATCTAAATTTATTCCTTATAATTTAAATGTGTTGATACTATGCCACAAAAGTAACCTTGCCCCAGTTGGTCAGGTCAAAAATAAATGGACTGGAATTTCCCCGCAGTTGTAAATAATTTCCTCTGCATAATATAATGCCAGTAACTCAAGTATGAGTCATATGGATTTCTGATGTGTTTACTGACCAGACAGACTCTCCAGAGGAGGGAATGAGAGATGATTGAAACTCCAGATGTAAGTCAAGCACCTGAATAGTATACAGCAAACGTGGTACCATTCATTTCTTTTAACTTCTGGCAATGGTAACAACAGTAAATACAACAGCAGAGAGCAGGCGAACAATGTCACTCCCTGGAAAGAAACGAGATTGCTGCAGAGGTACATGACATGCAGTGTGTTGTCTCAAAGTGTACAAAGTGTGGGTCAACGCCATCATGAGCTGATCCATCTAAGTCTTTGATATGAATGTCTCTTTCAGTGTGTTTTTAAACTGTAATGCAATTGTAGTTTAGTAAGGTACAGAAACGCACCCTTTCATTGCCGCTTTTTACATATGCACATAAATATACATGTACACACACACACACACACACACACTCACACACAGTGTTAATATCATACTGACACCAGCAGTTTTCTGACTAAAACAGTACATTCTTGCCAACTGTTACATGATATTCTGCTTTTTTCAGCAGGTCTTAGCAGCTTTTATGGGTACCTTTAGTAACTATTGGTATTTTATGGATTGCAGTAAAAGGGACATTGTACGTTTAATGACATATTTGATGTAAAATAGTTGTATCTATATATATATCCGATGTTAATTCAATGAATTTTATACAAAACCACTAAATAAACATGCTAAAGAAAATCCGGTGTACTGTAGTAACACTTGTGTATACTGTGGGTTTCTTTTGTACAATTTTATTATTTTTATGTTCACCCAGTTGTGCTTATGCAGATCTACACTCTTCATGTTTGTTTCTAATAATGAAAATATCACAGAAAAATTCCTATGGATGCAAAGAGAGAAATAACTGGTGCAGGACATTTACTTTGGTAAAAAACAACAAATATTATGAAAAATCATGTCAAGTAAATTAATTCCATCCAGGCAAAAAATACTGCATCTTTCAACACATAATATTTTGAAGCTAAAAACAAAAAACAACCAGTTTGAAAAGATTTAGACACACAGAGAGCAGCTGTGTACCACCATCGCAGGACACCGTGTACATTACATACTCAAAACCACAAGCTCCTTGTGAAAGTTCCCCAGCCGACGATGGAATCCTCACTTCCTACCCACAAGTGACAACTTCCCTTGAAGGTTTACGTGGCTCTGTGACCTGCAGGATATCCTGCCATTGTGAAAGTGGTTTTCACAGCCTCTGTTGCACTCGCTTGGGCACTGTTGTGTCTGTACACATGGTAAAACCACCACAGCCATCACGTCTCCCACCAGCCTTACTCACTCACGTAATCATAATGCAACGCAGGCCGTTCTGTGATCATTAATAAGTAATGAGTGTTTTTGGCCGTTACTTCCTCTGAAATCTGCTTCCTTATACTTTCTTATGCTTCCCTTGTACTGGATAAGTTTACAAAGCAGACTTTGCCAACATGTACCACCATGATAACGACTTCAGCTCCTGGACATTTTGAAGAGAAAAAAAAAAACAAAAACGTAATTGCTTCCAGGGAGCATCGGAAACATGCAGATGTTTGGAGACCTTTCCTGTGTGCTGTGCTCTGCCTGTGCTGGGACTCCATGGAGGGCCTCTCTAGGTCAATGCCTGCCAAACATTTACCTGCCTGTTCCCGACGCTCGAAAAGACACAGACTCACAAAAAGAGAGGGATCCAGGAAGTGAATGAAAGAGAAAAGAAACGAGATGAGACTGTGTGTGTGTGAGTGTGTGCGCTTGTGCGTGTTTTCTTATAGATCCTATTGTGTGTGTATGTGTGTGTGCGTGCGTGTGTGCTTGTGAGCTAACGTGCGCATGTGTTTATCAGCTTGCTGCAGATGGGTGGCAGAGTGGCTCTTCCAGCCAAATGATTCAGTATGCTAATGAGTTGTTATCTGTGGTGCTGCAGGAACAATATACTGTCTTTCTCACAGTGGGAATCCAGCCTGCCGGGAGCAGATTACACTGCACACACCGCCAAGGTAGTTATTTATATTTTCACTGAGTAGTAGAAAAATACATAAATGCACACACACACACACACACACACACACATACAAATCCACAGATAGGCTTATAAACAAACAAGCAAAACAACGTTTTAACACACACACATACACACCACCACCGAGGGGCTGCTGCAGCATCAATAAGGTGAAATTCCGAGGGAAATTTATGTGCTTCACCACTGGATGCAGAAGACTTTGTTCTCCTCCAGTATTCTTTGTTGAATACGACAAACTCTCTGCTCTCACTGAAGTTAACTTTCACGTTGAATCCAGTTGCAGAGCCATGCACTTTTCTTTAGTCAAACCCAGATTTGAAACACATTAAGCCGCTGCACAGAAATACACATAAATCAGTGTGACCTACACAAGACGCATGCTAAAATGCAACTAAGAGTGCATTTGAACTCTGATGCATTCAACAAACTGAAAAGATGAATTGGAATGAATTGGAGTGCTTGTTTAAAAAAAACCCAGGACTGCTAAAAGAGCACATCCAAGAGGCAAGAACTAAATTTTCATCACTTTTTTCTATTTTCTTTAATTTACCAATCAAACAAATTAAACAAGGTATTTAAGAAATACCTTTTGTAATCAAAATATTTAGAAAAAACAAGTGTTCATCAAAACGAGAAGTAAAAAAAAAAACGTTATATGGGGCTGACAGCTGAATCATCCAATAGAAACCTGACTTTGTGACATCACTGGTGAACGTGGCCATTGTTGGTTATATTTAAATGATAAATAGGTTTTAACAACTTGAGCAAATAGAAATATGCTTCGACCCAAACTTCTGCAAATATATTGCAAATATAACAGTTAATCAGTACATATAATTGTACTGTTTTCAGTGATGCATTTATCAAAATTATTCTATTAAACCACATACGTAAATTATTTATAAATTACATAAAGGTAGGTCAATTTACATAGAATTTATCTGTACGTAGATTTTTTTTCTGTTTTTATTACACAAGTCTCATTCATTTATTTACTTTTTGCACATTTCTATTTTAAATATGTGACCTCGTGCCTAAATTTTAAAGTTCACTGGGTGCTAAACCCTGAGCGCCTCACACCCTCTAGTGGAAGACAAGTGGAATTGTCCGCCACATCATTAACTTTAATTTGTACCGGCCTCACTGACAGAGCTTATCTAGTCTCACTCTAGTCTCAGTGACTAATGGCTTATAAATTAGCTTCTCATTCTGTTCCTCCGTAAATAAATCAAGGCCCCTACGTTTGTGCAAAGCCATTTTTAATGCAGTGTCAAGTATTGCATATGCAGCAGTATAGTCAAACTCCATCCATCTGTAAATAGAGCAAGGCAAGCAAAGCAGTTGGTTTGATTAGCACAAGAGAACCGTGCAGATAGGGAAGCGGCGGTCCTCTGCTAAACAGCAATCATTTTTTTCAGTAGCAGTGCAAGCGCAGTCTCTACTAGAATTAATAATCAGAGCTCATTCATTGATCACAGACTGCGTTTTCTACAAGAGATTTTCTACAGCAGTTGGTTTGGGCTTTAATTCTGGGTAAAGCAAGAAGCCAGAGAACGTGCTGTCATCCTCTGTGCTGGAATAAATCCCATTCCAGTCTCTCAGCGTCTCCAGCCACACCTGGTCACCCTCATTCAGCTGCAGCAGAGCCAGGTTGGACGCCTGGTCGATATCTTGGCCGTACAGAGAATCTCGAGTTCGCAGCTTTCGAATGCCATTCACCACCAGGGCAACACGCACGGGCCTGTTACGCACAGTGATGTGGTAAGTGAATAAGTAGACCCCGGTGTGGGTGATGTTGAACTTGTTAAGTGAAGGGTCCCAGTGTCCTTCACCGTTATAAAAGACCTTATCAAACTTCACAGGCATACCAGGGGGAGGGAAGGATCTGCTGGGGAACAACCCCACACTGAAGGCAGAGCGAATCAGCTCCACTCCCTCGCCTTGTTCCCCTTTTTGACCTCTGGGACCACGGACACCTTTGAGACCTCTCTCCCCTTTCCTCCCTACCAGACCTCTCACACCTACAGGCCCTGGAGTGCCCCTCGCACCAACATCTCCCTTCTGCCCTGGAGGTCCGACCTCACCAACCTCTCCCTTTGTACCATCACTGCCATTAAGTCCTGGCACTCCAATCTCACCGCTCAGACCAGGAGGCCCCTGTTCACCCACATCACCTTTCTCACCTGGTACACCCACACCTGTGGGTCCTTGTTCACCTTTCTCTCCCTTTGTCCCATTAATCCCTGGGGGACCAACAGGGCCCACCTCCCCTGTACTGCCCTTAGTCCCATTCAGTCCAGGTTCTCCGAGTTCTCCTGGGTCACCTTTAATACCAGTGAGGCCAGTTTCACCTTTCTCGCCGATAGGGCCAGGGTCACCTGTTTCAGATAAAAACGTGTTTTCCTTAATGATGTTCATCTAAAAAAAGTTTATTTTATATTATTTAAACCACATTTCCATTAATGAAGTTTTCATTGGAATATACCTTTCTCTCCTGGTTCTCCTGGAATTCCAGGGACACCAGGAAGGCCTACAGGTCCTTGATCACCTTTCTCACCTGTGGTAGAAGGATACATATACTGTAGGTCAGATAAATAAAAAAAAGCTGAAGTTGTGACAGAGACAGAAGATGATTTCAGAGATCTGTTACCTGTGGTACCATTTAGTCCAGAATCTCCAGGTTGTCCTTCAGGACCTGGAAGGCCTACAGGTCCAATCTCTCCTTTTTCACCTGGCAACCCTGGAAAGCTGATAGGGTTAGGGCGAAGAGAAGGTTCTGACATATTTATTTTGTTTTCACAAACATTAAGACAACATTTTACCTGGTGGACCAGTTTCTCCTGGTAGTCCCGGTGGCCCTGTTTCACCCACTGGTCCGGCCGGACCTTTCTCTGGTGGACAGCACTCACACAGGTTGAAAAAACACTCATTGTAGTCAATGGTATAGTTGCCGTTGTTGTTCCCGGGCAGAGCGATGGCGTCTGTGTGGAACTCCGTTGAGTACACGTCATTGGAGTAGGTGGTGCTGTCGGTTGGTAACTGGGAGAAGGCGTCCATTAAGACCTCAGTGGTCTCCTCTGCGTGCTGGCTACTGGACGGGGGCGCTGTTGCTGTGGTGGCGCGACCGAGTCGCCCTCCGCCTCCGCCTCCACCTCCGCTGCTCCCAGCTCTTGGTGGCTTCTTGGTGATTTGATGTTTAGGCGAGCGTGTGGTTCGGGCAGTGGAAGTCAGGACCCCCATCAGGACCACAAGGAGAGTGGTGAGGATGAGGAGGTGCATGGATATCATAGTGAGCTCTCAGTGCAAAGATCTGTATATAAATAAAAAGGCACTGAAAATGAGAACGGTTATGAAAATCAGCTGAAGCACATCGGACAAAGCGCTGTCTGTTGATATTACAGTGTGTTTACTGAAAATGAACCACTACAGAAACTGATGCATCCAAATTTAGACACTGTCCACAGAGTATTCAAATATGGAGCACAGGAGTCTATACATTGGATTTTGTGCTAATGGTTAGAAAATAAAGTAAAATATATTTAAAAACATAAAAAGTGAATTTTCATAAAATGTCAAAGTTGTTGATGTCTTATGGCTATTTTTTCTTATTTATTTCATTTTCCCCCTTTAATTTCTGACAAACATTTACCCTTGTTTTGCATTATATTTAGCTTTTTTTTTATTTGCCTTTCCTTACTTTAAAGCTATTTGTTAGTTATGCTGTTGATTCTTAATTTGAAAAACAAACAAAAAAAAAAATAAAATGCACAATAAAAGCCAAACCATTTTATAAATTATATATTGTATTATTATTATTATTATTATATATAATATTATATTTTGTATAAATAAGCACAGCTCATAGTTGCCTGTATTTAAACACAACATTGTTGTAGTGAATACAGAAGTATCATTTAAGGATAATAACAGTATTAAATCAGGCTTGCCTTGAATTTCTGTTTTTTTTTAATTCTATCTTTAAATATGACACACAGTAAGTCATCTTACCTGCTAGTAATGCTGTTGCTGAGCTTCAGTCCATCCTCCTTGACAGTGCTCCCTGCAGTTTCCCTCCTTCCTTATATTGTACTCTGTATCCCAACTCCGGCTTCATTAGGCCTGTGGGAGAACAAGAGGCAGAAAGCAGCAGGGGTTATTGGGAGGTAGCTGGGCTGGCAAGAACAGATTACATGACTCCTGAGGGATGGGGAATAAAGCAGGTCATATACCAGGCAGGACTTTATTCTTGGTGACAGAGGATATGATTCCAGGGCCCATGAGTGTACATACAGCACCGCTGTGGTATTCAAACACACGTCTGCTTTGTACTTCAATAGGAGAAAATATAAAATTACCAACACGAAAAACATTCACAGGACGTGTGCATACCACCTCCTCTTATCAGGTATGACCCCACGTAATTATCACACCATTTGGCAGGACCTCAAAAGCAGTGAAGGGAGAACCACACACCCGGTGGGAGAAAGATCGATGTCCCAAAACAAGTGGTGTGTAAATGTTGATTCATCCACTCACTCTCTGATCTACGACATTCAAGGAGTCCAGTAAACCCTGTGGAATACTAGCTCCTGACTTCACATGACTCAGACAGAACATATGATGGAGTTTAAACGCTGACATTGCCTCTAGTTGTTGACCAGGAGTTTAACATGAACATAACAATAACTTTTGCAACCCATCATCAGGTAATCGGTAGTGCTTTTAATATAAATAGTTTGTATTTTGCTGAATAATTATTGCCTACCATTCTTAACTTTTTAAATTGTTATTAATACTACTTTTGCCTGTTCTCCATCAACAGTGTTAATATTGTTTCTCCTCTCATGTATTTCTGTCTGTTACCAGTTCTGTCTGTTATCACTAACCATTTTATTCAAACAGGACAATAACACAGTATTAACTATGATACAAAAATAATCCACTCAGTAACAACTTTTTTTATATTTTTCTTCTCTATTTGCTTCCATCCAATCTCTCTGGTTACGTCTCCAGCTTTGGAACATAACGCTAGACCTAGAGTAGAACAACCCTTCCACCTCAAGGCAGATATTATCACCATGAAAGAGGTTACTTTGTGAAACCAAATGTCAACTTCTGACATTTTCAAGATCTAAGTCTATGGTTCTAACCTTTATTTAAAGCTTTTGTTCCTCACAAACAATATGAAACAAACAACTTCCTCTGAACAATATTCTTGTTCTTTTCAAGTCTTACATTTTATTTTCTATAATGATGTTGCATTACTGTTATTATCATAATGATGATGATGATAATGACCATCATTGTTATCATAATTAAAGGTATAATCACCATCAAGGACAACACCCTGTGCAGTGGCAAATAATCCATCATGCAGATCCGTAGTGCTGCGTGACTGAACTTGTAGAACTTAAATGTACCACGACTGAAAATCCAAAGCCAATGGAGAACTGCAACTTCCCTCAAAGTACTTCTTCCTCTCTTTCTTTGATTCTTTTTTGGTTTCTTTCTTTTCTTCAACACTTGCAACATAATCTATAAGCACTTGATTTGGCCCTGCATACACAACCACCACATGGCAATGATCCCACTCCTCTAAAGCCGCCTATTCCTATGAAGGACTGTGAAGTTGCAGTTATAAAAATAACCACTCCACCAACTTTAGTGTTGTCTGTTTTGTGTAAATTAACTGCAATTCTCTGCAATGCATGAAACTCCCCCTTTTTGTTTTTACTCAAGAAAGCCACAAGAGGGCAATGTTGGTTGGTGGGTTGGCTACTGTCGCCATTACACAAATGCTCCTGCGATTACAAAGCAAATGTATAATGTCATAAAGTGTATATCTATTAGTGCACTAGACGCGCGTATGTGCATTTCAGTAATTGGTTACATATATATTTATATATAGATGCATAGATATATAGATAGATAGTAATTTATTAACGTTAAAATGAAATACATAAGAATAAAAAATTCCGTCATTGTGACTGTAAGCCGGCAGTGCAGCAGTAAAAAGCCAGATAACTACAAAACTAGTCGGATCCGTTTATGTCTTGATGACATCATCAGCTGATTGCGCAGCCACCTCCATTGTCTCAAATGTTTTGCTCCTGCGTCTTCAGAGTTTGCGGCTGCGCACTCATGTGTTTTCAAAGACCGTGTGGAGTCAATAGTCGCTATTAAAACAATCTACTTCTGTTGGGTTCTTTCAAAATAAAACTCGAGCCGCGCATTAATATCCACCTGTGCATACAGTGGAGAGACGCAGTTTCTCCCTGTGCACAACCACACATGGCTTCCTGTTCTGTGTCGAATCTATCTTGTTTAGCGGTGTCACATATCTGAAGACTGGATGTGTGCATGGAAAAAAAAACGTGAGGGTGGTGTTGATGCGCACACTGAAGAGACAGACACGTATCAGACACATAACGCGCACACAGAGGAGACGGGGTCATCGGTGGATGGGAAGGAGAAGACAGTCCCTCTCCATGTCACAGCTGCTCGACTGTCGCCTCAGGGTGGCGCGTGTTTCTCTCTCTCTCAGTGCTGGTGTCTGTAGTCCCACAATGGACTGGGGGAGATCGGTGCCAGACAGGCGAGGATAGAAGAGAGAGACATCGGGTCGAATCAATGAAGCGCTCTTGTCCTGTGCGTCTCTGCACTGGTGTTCGACAGCCAGCAGCGCACGGTGCGTAAATGCGCTCGGCCTCCGACCAGCGCTGCATGTGTTCCGATTCCGACTCAAAGAGACATTTTTGTACCGAATCGATTTCTTCTTATATCCGCTGAGCAGATGGAGTGAGCTGCGCAAAGAGGGGGAGAGGGAGGGAGGGAGGGA